TCGTTAGGGTTAAGTATAAGGATGAAATTTCTCTAACAAACTTGATAAATCAAATGAAAGGAAAACCATGAAATCTTAAATTATTTGAACTATGTTACAGAAAATCGTATAGTATGGTAGTGAATTTTAAAAAAATCTAAAATTTTTGAATGCTGTTCTCTTTCTTTTCAAAAATAAAGGAATATTTTCTTTTAGTAAAATTTTCTATCTAAAGTATTAAGAGTACTTTTCCTCCAGGTGGCATTACAAAATTCCACCCTGTATAACCCAAAGGTGACTGACTGAGTGACTGACTGGCATAGTGATCTATCAACGCACAGCCCAAACCACTGGACGGATCGGGCTGAAATTTGGCATGCAGGTAGATGTTATGACGTAGGCATCCGCTAAGAAAGGATTTTACGAAACAAAACGGGATCACGCGTACGAAGTCGCGGGCGGCCGCTAGTAGTATATGAAACCGCAACCCACACGCCCCTGTGGCCACATAAGACGAGTGTACATTAAGTATACGGCATTACTGCGATTATGTATTCTGCGGTCGCGGAATAGGAACTTATGTTCTTAGCATTTTTATGTGTATACAAAAACGCGGTAGAGCCGTGGCTGTATATGAGCGGAGAGCATGAAAATTTTAGATAGTAGTGACGGTACAAGCGAATAAGAAGAAAATACCCTAAATATATTATACAATTTATTTTAATTTGACAAATAATTATCTATTTTAATGTTATTTTTAAGTTTGTGCAACGCCTTCACTGGGCGTCACATGTACCTACAATATTATGTTTTTGTCAACCCTTACCCATGTGACATGCAATAAATAATTTGAATTTATTTTGAATACATTTAGGTAGGACACCACTTAAAAGAAAGAAAGAAGTTGCAGCCGAAACTAAAATTCATAACTCTATAGCACTAACATGAAAATGAGGCAAAAAAATTGAAAATACAGTTGATGAATTGATATTTATAAAAATACATAAGTACATCCGAACATAGAACCCCTCCTTTTTCAAAGTCGGTTAAAAATACACCAAAATGGCTTAAAAGAAGCTCTTACTTTAATCCTACAGTGATTTAAACTTGTTTTTAAATTATTTCACTCTGATACTTGGTATTGGTCGGTTTAATACATAGAGCTTGCCGCTAATATTTGACCACAACTTTACATTAATTAGTAATAACGACATTGAACAGTTATTAGCACTAAACACGCTACCTCGTCAACGGAATTATTTGACTGCATGCTACACATTCAAACTTGCTAGTGCTTGTGACATAGTAACATAGGTAAATTGGCGGTTAACTTCATCGCTACATCTTTGCTGACCGACTTACAATCCGATCGAGTTAACTGCGCACAGCTACCCGCGTTTTTTTTTTTTTTAAAGATTATTAGTAATTTGTTATTACACAAATTACTAATATTCCCGTTAGCCCCTCGTACTAAGCTAAATATGCTTGTGTCACGAGTGAGCTCACCACAATAGTCGAGCGGCGGCGGGGACCGAACCCGCGTTCCCCGGATCACGAGTTGGCCAGTCCGACCCCTTCACCGTTCGGCTATCGTGACTTCGCCCCGTTCCGTACCAGGCGACGTGACGTCACGGGTGGCAGGTGCGCAGTTAACTTGACCGGATTGTAAGTCAATGCTTCAGATATTACAGCATCAGACGGGGAAACCGCATCTTGAGAGCGGCAAAGTGCGTGTTGTAATGTATGGATTCTGTTCCGTCACATTGCATTGTACAGTCACGGAATGAAAAGGTTCGTCAGTTTTCAAATTGATTCCTTCAACGAATCGCGAGCACATATTACCTTTTGAAACTATGTTACAGAATAATCTCGAGTTAGAGAAAATAATCTTTAACTGTTCTTCAGTAAAGTTCAAAATTATNAAACACATTAAAACTAGCAAGTGCTTGTGACATAGTAACATGATAGGTAAATTGGCGGTTTACTTCATCGCTACATTTTTGCTGACCGACTTACAACCCGATCGAGTTAACTGCGCACAGCTCCCCGCGTTTTTTTTTTTTTTTTTTAAAAAAGATTATTAGTAATTTTTTTTACACAAATCCCAACTTCCCAACTAATATTATAAATGCGAAAGTAACTCTGTCTGTCTGTCTGTCTGTCTGTCTGTTACGCTTTCCCGCTTAAACCTCGCAACCGATTTTGATGAAATTTGGCATAGAGATAGTTTGAGTCCCGGGAAATAACATAGGATAGTTTTTATCCCGGTTTTTGAAACAGGGACGCGCGCGATAAAGTTTTTCTGTGACAGACAAAAATCCACGCGGGCGAAGCCGCGGGCGGAAAGCTAGTTACTAATATTCCCGTTAGCCCCTCGTACTAAGCTAAATATGCTTGTGTCACGAGTGAGCTCACCACAATAGTCGAGCGGCGGCGGGGACCGAACCCGCGTTCCCCGGATCACGAGTTGGCCAGTCCGACCCCTTCACCGTTCGGCTATCGTGGCTTCGCCCCGTTCCGTACCAGGCGACGTGACGTCACGGGTGGCAGGTGCGCAGTTAACTTGACCGGATTGTAAGTCAATGCTTCAGATATTACAGCATCAGACGGGGAAACCGCATCTTGAGAGCGGCAAAGTGCGTGTTGTAATGTATGGATTCTGTTCCGTCACATTGCATTGTACATACATCAAGAAAACACTGCCAGGGTTTTTGCAGGATACGTGAACATTCCGTTTGCAGTGCCCCGCAAAAAATTCCGATTTCTCAAAAAAAACCGATCCGTTCGAATATCAAACAACTTATGAGATAAGTAATTTTTACATGTGTGTTCACGACAGTCCAGTTTTGCGGGACCCTGTATAACTGAAATGCCGTGGGAACAAGCCCTCACTTTCCATGAAATATAACCGACTAAAAGACACGCAGTCCACGCTCTCAAATGACCGCAGCCCTACGCCGCCAGTGGCGCCCTCCAGTGTTACGGTAGGTTATGGCGTATTTAGATATTACGCAACACCTAGTCCAAACAAGCCGTATCGGTCAACGCCATAAACTGGTATTTGGACGATCTATTTATACACTTATGGAAATAACTTTTTAGGCGTTTTATTTACGTTTAATTTAAAATATTAGGCAACGTTGTGCAATCATAAAAAAACTTTTGATTAATTGCTTCCCGCGATATTTGTCTTCTTAACAATCATAAAGTGGTATTTTCTAAGATTTATGTTTCCCAAACTTTACAAGTTAAAATATATTTTAATGTCTTTTTTGAGCAAACGAGTGACCTTTTCTGTTTTAAGATTTATAATAGCCCACAAAATTAATAATTATTATTAATTCAATGTATTTTTTTTTGCGAACGATAAATATTATAAGGCACTAGCTTTCCGCCCGCGGCTTCGCCCGCGTGGAATTTTGTCTGTCACAGAAAAACTTTATCGCGCGCGTCCCTGTTTCAAAAACCGGGATAAAAACTATCCTATGTTCTTTCCCGGGACTCAAACTATCTCTATGCCAAATTTCATCAAAATCGGTTGCGGGGTTTAAGCGGGAAAGCGTAACAGACAGACAGACAGACAGACAGACAGACAGACAGAGTTACTTTCGCATTTATAATATTAGTTGGGATATAGCAGATTTACGACATGGAAGCAACTAGTCTAATGTTTTTCTCAAAAAATCTAAATAGATTTTTACCAAACCTCATCGAAATAAGTTCAGCAGTTGTGAATACATAGCACAGCTAAATGTGCAAAGTCATTACTACCAGCATTCGTTAGGATAATCAAACGATATTGCGGTAATGTAAGAGTAAGTTGGCTAACTCGGATCGCCACCTACGACTGCCTGTAGAATAAAACCTACTCACTACGCCCACCGATTTTACCTTGCATAAGATCATTTCTTTGCTAATTTTAGAGACAGACTTGTTTATAATTTTTGAGAAATGTAATGTTTAATTGGTTTTTCTGTGTACTGTTCATTTTGTCTTTTGTACAGAACTACAGAATAAAGATATGGCCTCACTACTTCAGACACTAGTACCAACCTCCGTTATAGCGGCACGCCGCCGGAGGAGTCATTCCGCTAGCTAGCCTTTTGTTTTGTAGAATTCAAATTCAAATTGTTTATTTGCATACTAAGTGTAGGTACATGTGTAGGTAGAAGTGACAGCAACGTGGCTTTGCTCCGCTAGACACAAGCAGCAACCTCTAGACTCGCGGGACGACGTTCTTGGCGGCATTAGCCTTTTGTCCTGTAAGACCAGGTAGAAAGGAGCTACGCTCCGCTAGATCAACCTACAGAGGTTGGTCACGTGACGACATCAAGATTCCTGCCGCCACTTTTCGCCATCGATCTACCCGACAGCACTTCCACCCGTATCACTTAGATGCTAGGCAGTCTACAACAGCACGTTTCTCTAGAAACTTCCTGCCCCGTACAACCAAACTGTGGAATGGACTGTCGTCTGCGGTGTCTCGGGACGAATACGACTTGCAAGCTTTCAGGAAGAGAGCGTATCTTCACCTTAAAGGCCGGCAACGCACCTGTAACGCCCCTGGGTCTGCGGGTGTCTATGGGCGACGTAATCACTTACCATCAGGTGATCTGTCTGCTCGTTTGCCTCCTGTCACATAAAAAAAGACGCTACTGAAGGAAGCATAGCCTGTGCCTTCAGTAGCGTCTCGATGTCGTCACGCGGCCGCTCTGCTAGACACTACACCGACCTCTGTGCTCGCGCAGCGCGTTGGCGGCGTGCCGGCGGTGGTGCCGCTCCGCTAGCGCCAGCGGAGTGTCCGCGCCTGCCTTCAGTAGCGTCTCGATGTCGTCACGCGGCCNGACTTTTTTTATAGGTCCATGGCTCGCCCGTAATTATATTGCTGTCGCGCTCGCACATTCACTGCGGCCGCGCTTCACACAGTTGCGACACCAATATAATTACGTGAGAGCGATAAGGATGCGTAGCTTGGGGTCATTAGATGAAATTCTATGTGCTCGGCGACCGGACTTTAGAAATCACATTACCTCTCCTCCCGCTACATCCTCGGCCCTAGCATTGACATCGGCCCCCGCGTCGCACAGCGCTTGAAGACAGCGGCTGCGGTCCGCTAAAGCCGCCGCGTGCAGCGCTGTCCTGCTGCGGGCATCGCGCGCGTCGACGTCCGCTCCGTTTGCGATCAGCTCTTGTAGGAGCTCGACGTTGTCCCATAGTGCTGCCTACAAATGAAGAAGGATGCCTATGAATTAACTAATTAGTTGAGGCTGACAATAGTGACTGAGATTCTTGCGCTGCTTCTTCTCAGCACTGGCCCATTTATTGTCCCGAAGCAGTGGTAGGGTTAATACTGGGACGTGTAAAAGTGCTTTTTAAAAGTCTACGTGCATAAATAAATGAGTTTTAGGTTATTCAAACTGTAATGTAAACTAATAAAAAGTTTTCTAATAAGAATTCTTAATTTAGGCAAACAAATTGCTAAATGTTTTAATCCCTCCTACTAATAACTTATAACTATAATTTCGTACTGCCTACTCTATTCTTAGGTTGGCCCTAAGGTTGACTGGAGGAGAGTGCCGAATGGCATTAAATTCGCCTTATTAACTATAATTTATGTGTATATGTTATTTATTTATTGGAATTATTGTTCAGTAACCAATAAATTAATAAATAAATTACTGGATTTTTTCCATGACACTAATTATTTTATGTGAGCTTGTGCATAGCAATTTTTATAAAAATTAATTTTACCAATTAGGTTATTTGCCAAAGTTAATAATTTTTAGCAATTTCATTTGTACTTTTCAAGCCCTTTGAAAACTGAATTCTAAGTAACATCTTCATGTAATTTTATTTAAGTGTAACACTTGCAATTCTGCGAGCTATGTCGGTTACTTTGGTTCTCCTACGGATCTCCTCATTTCTGATTCGATCACGCAGGGAAACTCCGAGCATAGCCNCCCCAAGCTACCCATCCTTATCGCTCGCGCGTAATTATATTGCTGTCGCGACTGTGCGACGGGCGCCCGCAGTGAGTGTGCGATCGCAACAGCAACATAATTACGCGCGAGCGATAAGGATGGGTAGCTTGGGGTCAATGGACAAAATTCTACGTGCTCACAGACCGGGCTTTAGACGGGTCTAGAGACCACATTACCTCTCCTCCCGCCACATCCTCGGCCCTAGCGTTGACATCGGCTCCCGCGTCGCACAGCGCTTGCAGACAGCGGCTTCGGTTTGCTAAAGCCGCCGCGTGCAGCGCTGTAAGCCACTAGACGAGTCTGAAGTCCGGTCGCCGAGTAGATAGAATTTCATCCAATGACCCCAAGTTACCCATCTTTATCGCTCGCCCGTAATTATATTGCTGTCGCGCTCGCACATTCACTGCGGCCGCGCTTCACACAGTTGCGACAGCAATATAATTACGCGCGAGCGATAAGGATGCGTAGCTTGGGGTCATTAGATGAAATTCTATGTGCTCGGCGACCGGACTATAGAAATCACGTTACCTCTCCTCCCGCTACATCTTCGGCCCTAGCGTTGACATCGGCTCCCGCGTCGCACAGCGCTTGAAGACAGCGGCTGCGGTCCGCTAAAGCCGCCGCGTGCAGCGCAGTCCTGCTGCGGGCGTCGCGCGCATCGACGTCCGCTCCGTTTGCGATCAGCTCTTGTAGGAGCTCGACGTTGTCCCATAGCGCTGCCTGGAAGAACAAATGAAGAAGGATGCCTATGAATTAACTAATTAGTTGAGGTTATACAAACTGTAATGAAAACTAACAACTAAAAGTTTTCTAATAAGAATTCTTAATTTGGGCACACAAATTGCTAAATGTTTTAATCCCTACCAACTAATAATTTATAACTATAATTTCGTACTCTATTCTCAGGTTGTCCCTAAGGTTTTCTGGATGAGAATGCCGCATTAAGTTCGCCTTATTAACTTTAATTTATGTGTATATGTTTTATTTATTTATCGGAATTACTGTTCAGTAACCAATAAATTAATAATGGATTTTTTCCATGACACTAATTATTTTACATGGAGCTTGTGCATAGCTATTTTTATAAAAATTTATTTTACCAATCAGGTTATTTGCCAGTTAATTATTTTTTAAGTAGTTTCATTTGTACTTTTCAAGCCCTTTGAAAACCGAATTCTAAGTAACATCTTCATGTAATTTTATTCAAGTGTAACACTTGCATAACATGATGATTCATAAATTGAGCAGTAATGGAGGCAAGTGATAACTTGGCAAGGATGAACTCATTTGCTATAGTCATTATCTATCACTTAGAGACCTTGAAATGGAGGTCTTATTGAAGAACTAACAACAAATAAAAACAACTTGTTGTTTACTTTTTTAACTAGTTTCTGGACTGTTCTTAGTGTTCCAGTATTTTCTTATTATTTAGTTATTATCCTACTTCATGTAACAAATATTAACTTAATCCAATAAGACTAATAAGAATTGCATGTTGAGTCAGTCTCAAGAATTTACAAATAAAACGAAACTAAATGATGTGAAACTAAAATAGCCCACTTGTGACATCTCGCATGCATTCCGACACTTAATACACTCGAAGATTTCACACACTCACCGCACACAATCAGATTTTTTTGTTCTTATTGACCAAAATTGTTACGAAGTTTAAACTACCGCAAAATCTTACCTGATGCAGTAAACGGCCTTGGAAGTTGTCTTCATCCGGGGAAAGGTCCATTTTACTCACTTCCTATCAATGTTCATGGCAAAATAAAACATTTCCGAGCGAAATAATCGCTGAAGCGTTGCGAATAATACTCCACCAAATAACTTTGAAAAAGTCCATAATACTACACTCAAGTCTTGAAAAATCGCTCAATTAAGACAAGCGACGTAATTCTACGCTTAAATATTCACATTTAAATGCATTTATTCAGAGAAAACAGCATTTATTTCCACTAAATTCAACTATTGATTTGAAACACCAATATTTTATGAAATGACAGCTGCTTGCCCGTCCCGTCACAGATAATGAAACCAAAGTTTTTGTCCGATCAGCTGTATTGTGCTTTATTCCGTGTAAAGGAATATTTTGTGATAAAATTAATTTCCTATGATTTTAAAGATTATTCAAATTCTATTAGATTTAAAATCTCAATTTACTTAGAAAACATTATTTTGACAAGAACTTAGAAGGCAGGTATTAAAAATATTAAGGGAAGGAATTTTATTTTTTAAGATGCGGGTAGGATAACTTTTCAGAATATTTTTAGAAAACGTTGAGTTATAAAGTTGTAATCCTTACAAGAAGTTTTAAAATGTGGCGGAGTAATTATCACGAAGACTGGGAACGGAGGAAATCATATTTGATTCGTAGCCTCTTTCAAGATATTCCAGGTACAAATCTAACCCTCCAATGTTCATTGAGATTTTAAAAGTATCCTATACTTATTTTTTAACATCTGCTTTTAGTTTTATCTCCAGTTCCTGAGGATCGAGAATCGCTATACGGTGCAATATCTCCATCAAATGTACCTGAATCGAGACCCTACAGCCCTCTACCTCCTCTTATAATTGAAAAGATGCCTGACAAGCATGACCATCCTAAAAAGTTTTATCAGGATTTAGAAAAAAAGATGAAAAAGTTGTATAAAAAACTGTTTTACAACGAAGAAAGTAGTTCTATTGAAGATTTAATTGAAATATATGCTGATGATTTGGTTCGAAACCTTGAAAATGAAAGCATTTCTACTGTAAAACTATATGAAAACAGATCTCAGGAGCATATTTTTGCTGAAAAGTCACCATCTAATCAAACACCTGGCAAAGATAGAAGCAGGAGCAGGAGTCTAAATGATAGCATAACACCCCCAAGAAGAAGTAATAGGTCCGATTCTCTACCACAGAGTATTGACAGTAAATCCAGTGAATCAGTAGATCCAACACAAGTCACTACTGTCGTAGAAGTTCACAATGAACCGTCAAGTACCCATGATGAAGCAGATCAAACCTCCCAGGATATTTACATGAGCCCTGTATTGGAATGTCATCAAATAGGCTTCAACAAACCGTCGAATGAGATACAATGTGACAGCATCAATGACACTAATGGAACAGAAAAAATAGGTTAGTAAGATTTTAAAAAGTTTAAGAAAAATACTTGGTTTCTGAATTGAGGTTTCCAGCTTAAGTGTGCTTATCTTTCTACTCAAGCAAGGATGAATTTAACATAAAAAGTTCATAATATCTTTAAAAGATGATCACATTCAAGCCAAAAATATCAATCCAGAATGCGAACCTAACTCAAATGTTTTTTTTTTATTATTTTAGTTTCCTCAAATGAAGATGCCTCTGAACATACTGATCAATGTAGCTCCAGTGAGAGGTCACAAATAAGCATCGAAGTCATGCGTAGACAGAATATCTTATCTCCATCCCTAGGATCCTTGCACAATGAACCAATCAATTCAGCAAGCTCGAAGCATTCCAGCAATAACATAAATACTGAATTACAGAGTAGAATATCTTTACCTGAAGAAAACGTTTTTAGTGAAGATCAACGAAATTTAAGAGAATCTTCCTCATCGTGCACGTCTTTTGATTTTAATCACATTTTGAGCACTTCTACACCTAAATTGAAGGATAACTCTAAAACGAAAAGGACAAGTTTTAACAGAAAACGGCCATGCTCACAAAGTGAAGCTTCTGATAAAAGTGAAAATAATTCTATCATGGTGACAAAGAGGAAAAAATATGGAAACATGGCTATACAGACGTCTTTTATCAGTGAAAGTGATATTGATGATGCAATTGATTGGAATCAGTTGAAAAAAAACTTCTTTGTCGGAATGCCTAAAATTTTTAAGCTTTGTCCCTGCAACGATCATTCCTGCAAAAGTATTTTTTAAATGATTATAGTTTTACAAAGAAATAAAATTCAAATAAAATTGAAATCAAAAATTATTTTGGCACATTTTTTGTGCGTAGCACGGGACTGGTTAAATGGAACATAGAGAAAAGTAATACATAAATGGAACGTTCCGTTCTGCGCAATATGTTTTCAATCAAACTTTCAACCAAACAAATGTCACGATGATTTTGACACAGATTATTTTTGAGGTTATGTTTTGATTTGATTACGTTTGTAATTTGGTTATTAAATCGTATTAATTATTGAAGCGAGTTATTTTTATTTACAACTGTTCAATAATGTCGCCGTTAGAAGGGCCTGCTAAAGAACTAGACGAGAAGTATGCAGAAAAAGTGGTAAAGTTCGTCTCCGATGTCAGGAATGGGTACGTGAAAGTCGCAGCTTTTGCTTTAGATTTCATAATTTCCTAGTTCTTTGCTTCCTTTTTTAATTTATTCAGACATCGTACAGGTGTGCTATGATTTTTACGGGCATAATCTCTCTAAACTTCCTTACGTTTAAAGTAAACATTTTCATCAAACTGATGAGGGAAGTTTTTTTTATGACATCTCTTTACTCAATTCCATTTTAATCTCTTTTCATAAATCTGGATGTTTTTCACCAGGTTTAGCATGATTGTGTCAATTTCTAATTACTTTCTAAAAAATTCCAATCAGAACTTAAGTGCTAGAGATAAAAAAATCTCATGATATGACTAATGAAAGATGATGAAATATAAAGGACTTCTAAGACTCATTCGAGATGCCTACTGGTTTTATAGCAACACATGAAATGCTTACTGAAATTCTTATAAGCATTGTATACTGTTTTATGATGTGAATAGGATAGAATTCTAAGTTTTTAATACAATAAAATATTTGATTTTTAGAAAGATTGAAGGCTCAAACAATATAGCACTGGCTACACTCACACTTCTGGAGCAGATCATCCAGGACTCGGAGAATGCTACAGCTTAGTAAGTATGAAATTACCTCCTAAAATAAAGTTAATTTGTATTTCACTGTTTGTTTGTATTGAATAGGCTCCGAAACTACTGGACCAATTTGAAAAATTCTTTGACCATTAAAATCCTACACTATTTCAGATGAACAAAGGCAGTACGAAGTTCGCAGGAACAGTTAGTTTTTCAAATAAAGTGATCACAATCAAATCCTGGTTTTGTGCTGTGTGCCGGTTGGCACAATACTTAATCTCTTCATATCTTATCTTGATCACGTTCACAGTGTCAGCACATTTATCACGTATAGTGCTGATGCTGTGACGTCATTTATCTATAATCTATATCGTATAAATATAGTGTAGTCCGCGTTAATAAACAGACATATAGCAGAGACTAACTACAACTCTTGTATCATTCATACGGTCTCCCAACATGGCACAAATTGGTGACCCCGACGAAGAAGATGAACCTGACGGACATGGCACATGCTGCATTTTATAAAAAAGATTTTTCTTTTACCTACTGGTTAATGTTAACATTCTGTGTTTTAATAAAACCAAACATACAACTGTTCAGTTGTCCTGCTCAAAACGTCTAATTTGGAAGTGCGTTATGTTAGCTAATGTATTCCCCAGCGACCTAATAAACGTGGTGCGTCTGTCCGGGCGCGCGATCTGCGGCGCGCTGCCGCTGGAGCTGGTGCCGGCCAACATCGTGCGCCGCGTGCTGCGCGCCATCCGCGACGAGCACCGCGCGATACACCAGGCGAGTGTTGGATACTATAGTCCGGTCGCCGAGCACGTAGAATTTCGTCCAATGACCCCTAGCTACCCATCCTTATCGCTCGCGCGTAATTATATTGCTGTCGCGACTGTGCGACGGACAGTAATATAATTACGTGATAAGGATGGGTAGCTTTCTTGCTAGGAGTTACCTATCTGTCCGCTCCCCTCTGGCATTGTATGCTCATGATCCTTGGTGTCTACGACCAGGTTTCCACCAAAGCAGAGAGTAGAAGAGGCTTACTTGAATAACCAATTAGATTTCTGAACCGAAAATGGGTGGAGAGGTAAAATTAGGGCCAGCTTTTAAGAAAAACATATGTTTTAAAGTACTTTTTTTCATTAAGAACTTCTGCGTTGGATAATGGCGTTAAGAATAGCAATACTTTCCCACAGAGCGGAGGATCAGGCGCGGGTGGCGAAGGAGCGGGTGACAGCTTGCAGCGGTTAGTTTTGGCGGCGGCAGCACGGCGCGGTACGCTAGGCGCTGCGCAGCCCGATTTGCGGGAGCCTTTGAGGGACCACATTGCTGAGGTTAGTCATCATCAAGTCGTTCTGTTTCCATTACAGGAACACGGCTCTTCACTTTACCAGATGCCAAGAGCATTTGATCTACACTATAAACTACTGTGTTGAATTAAAAAGAGACTGACAAAGGTAACTGAGTTTCTTCCGCCACTTCTTCTCAGCACCAGCCCATATGTTGTCCCGAAGTGGTGGTAGGGCGAGCTATATTTGGGACGTGTATAAGTGCCCTGGAAAGGGCCTATGTACTATACTGAATAAACTATTTCATTTTATTTCACTCTAGATGGATTGGGGAGGTCTGATGTTCGCATATTTGTGCCTAAGTCATTTCTCACGACATCTACAGCTAGAGAGGGGGTCGTATTTTGGTGTAGATTTCGTGAGAGGTGACTAAGGTTTTGTGCTGGAACCACACAGAGTTTAACCTGTGGCAATATCCTTTGTCCACACTATCTGGCACGTGCCCAGGGTCCCGCGATAGAGGAGGCCCACGTCTGTTCTCATAAAAGATCTTTCTCCAGGTGAGAAGGGCCTCCCTTGATCTTTATATGCCCAGGGCCCCTAGTAGGTTAAAGATAGCCTTGCGTGTGATGTCCAAATCCCAACTAATATTATAAATGCGAAAGTAACTCTGTCTGTCTGTCTGTCTGTCTGTCTGTTACGCTTTCCCGCTTAAACCTCGCAACCGATTTTGATGAAATTTGGCATAGAGATAGTTTGAGTCCCGGGAAAGAACATAGGATAGTTTTTATCCCGGTTTTTGAAACAGGGACGCGCGCGATAAAGTTTTTCTGTGACAGACAAAATTCCACGCGGGCGAAGCCGCGGGCGGAAAGCTAGTCATGAAATAAATGATCCTTATAATGTCGAAATCTCCTGATTTTGTTGGTTTACCTTGTTTTTTATCCGCATTATTTTGTTTACTTAGTGTATGCCTAATTTTCAACCGACTTCAAAAAAGGAGGAGGTTCTCAATTCGACCCGTATGTTTTNTCAAGCAGTGTATACCGTTTTATGATGTGAATAGGATAGAATAAATTTGTGAGTTTTTAATTCAATAATCATTTTGATTTTTAGAAAAATTGAAGGCTCAAACAATATAGCACTGGCTACACTCACACTTCTGGAGCAGATCATCCAGGACTCGGAGAATGCTACAGCTTAGTAAGTGTGAAATTACCTCCTAAAATAAAGTTAATTTGTATTTCACTGTTTGTTTGTATTGAATAGGCTCCGAAACTACTGGACCAATTTGAAAAATTCTTTGACCATTAAAATCCTACACGATTTCTGATGAACATAGGCAGTAGGTACGAAGTTCGCAGGAACAGTTAGTTTTCTAATAAAGAGATCACAATCAAATCCTTGCTTTGTGCTGCATTTTATAAAAAAGATTTTTCTTTTACTGGTTAATGTTAACATTCTGTGTTTTAATAAAACAAACGCACAACTGTTCAGTTGTCCTGCTTAAAGGGTCCAATTTGGAAGTGCGTTATGTTAGCTAATGTATTCCCCAGCGACCTAATAAACGTGGTGCGTCTGTCCGGGCGCGCGATCTGCGGCGCGCTGCCGCTGGAGCTGGTGCCGGCGAACATCGTGCGCCGCGTGCTGCGCGCCATCCGCGACGAGCACCGCGCGATACACCAGGCGAGTGGTGGATACTATAGTCCGGTCGCCGAGCACGTAGAATTTCGTCCAATGACCCCTAGCTACCCATCCTTATCGCTCGCGCGTAATTATATTGCTGTCGCGACTGTTCGACGGGCGGCCGCAGTTAGTGTGCGAGCGCGGCAGCAACATAATTACGCGCGAGCGATAAGAATGGGTAGCTTGGGAGTTGGTGTCATTAGACGAAATTCTTCGTGCTCGGCGACCGGACTATAAATAAGCTCATTCAGATGAGATACTGCTGATATCGCTAGCACGGCAGAATACTACTCTCAAACATCTGAAATTTTTCGCCTATCTAGCCTACTTTCTAATCACTAGCTTCGCTGCAAGAAGCCTGTAGTGGCCTAGATAGGCTGCTTGCTTTCTGGGGGGATCTGCGATTGTTGGAGTAGGAAGATAAACCACAAATTGCGCACAATGGTCTGATCAAGAGGCTAAGTGTGATTCGATTGCCCTGCAAAACTAATGTAGCTTATTATACAAATACAAAATACAAAAAAATACAAAATATTTTATTCATACAAACAAGTCACATAACAAAGTTTTAGATCTAATCCTTTTAAGTTTTATCAACTTGTGTTAGGATCCCTTATTTTGTCCCTCACTTAAATGTGACTGACGAAATCTGTTACATCATGCCCCATTCTACTTTCAATCCCTCTTTTGCATGCTAAAAATGTAAGCAGAATAGTAAGTACTGTGTAAATTATATTATAAGACCTCATATGTAAAATACCTATTCTATGCAATAAATGTTTGAATTTGAACCCCTTGACTTATCTCCTACGCAGCGCCCCATGTCATTTTTGCTTTTGATCACACTAAACTTCCTGGATAAATATTTAGGAGTTGCCTAAATTTAAATCGCTAATCTATCTTCCCCCTCCCCTTTGCCATTGTATGCCTCTATCTACATACCTTCCTCATGATTGTCCAAGTATCTAAGGTCTGGTTTTCACCAAGCAAAGTAGAAAAAAGAGTATGTCTGCTTGATTAGCCAATTAAATTTCTTCACCGAAACTGAGCGAGAGATGTGGAAGTAGGGGCCAGTCTGGACGTGGCTTTTAAGAAAAACACTAAGTATTTTTTTATAAAGAACTTCTGCGTTGGATAATGGCGTTAAGAATAGCAATACTTTCCCACAGAGTGGAGGATCGGGCGCGGGCGGCGAAGGAGCGGGTGACAGCTTACAGCGGCTAGTCTTGGCAGCGGCAGCACGGCGCGGTACGCTAGGCGCTGCGCAGCCTGATTTGCGGGAGCCTTTGAGGGACCACATCGCCGAGGTTAGTCATCATCAAGGCGTTTTGATTCCATTACAGGAATACGGCTCTTAACTTTACCAGATGCCAAGAGCATTTGATCTACACTATAAACTACTGAATTAAAAAGAGACTGACAAAGGTGACGGAGTTTCTTCCGCCACTTCTTCTCAGCACCAGCCCATATGTTGTCCCGAAGTGGCGGTAGGGCGAGCTATATTTGGGACGTGTATAAGTGCCCTGGAAAGGGCCTATGTACTATACTGAATAAACTATTTAATTTTATTTCACTCTAGATGGATTGGGGAGGTCTGATGTTCGCATATTTGTGCCCGAGTCATTTCTCACGACATCTACAGCTAGAGAGGGGGTCGTATTTTGGTGTAGATTTCGTGAGAGGTGACTAAGGTTTTGTGCTGGAACCACACAGAGTTTAACCTGTGGCAATATCCTTTGTCCACACTATCTGGCACGTGCCCAGGGTCCCGCGATAGAGGAGGCCCCAGTCTGTTCTCATAAAAGATCTTTCTCCAGGTGAGAAGGGCTTCCCTTGTAATAAAGAATTTGATCCTTACGTGCCCAGGACCCCTAGTAGGTTAAAGACGGCCCTGCGTGTGATGTCCAAATCATGAAATAAATGTGTCTAATCGTGGTCTTATCCAAGGCCAGAACGTACTGATACTGGGTAGGTTTTATTGCCATTTCTTTGTTACAAGTCTTTATCTGTCTCCGCCAGGTGTGCGCCGAGCTAGATTCGAGCAGGTGGGTTAGACAGTACAATAGACAGTTTACACAATGTTTTCCAAGGGCATACTGGCCGCCGCCCGTTTCGTGCGCGTCATCATATTTATTTATTTAATCTTTTAATCTTCAGCACACAAACTAACAATGCACTGTGGCGGACTTAATACCGGATGGCATTCTCTGCCAGTCAACCACGGGTCATGCAGAAAGAGTAAGGCGGTGCAAAAAATTTACATTTTTATTAATAAACCTACTTACATAAGATTACATAAAATAAATACCATAATACAAATAAATATAATAGACATACACATAAATACTTAAACATAATAATATTATAGATGTACACATCACTCATGTCTGAGATAGCGAGAAAATGGAGAAAAAAGGTCATTCCTTGAAATGTTTGCGCAGAGCCTTTTTGAAAGTAAATTTGGAAGAAGGTTTGCGTAATTTGGCCGGAAGGTCGTTCCATAGCCGTACAGCGGAGACTAGGAAAGAGTTGGACATGAAGCCGGTGCTATGATGAGGGGTGGCAAGTCATATACTGTCAAGCTGTTGTAAGCATCGCTCCGCAGTTGCAATCGCTCAGCTCATCGCCAGTTTCGTGCCCGTAGACTTACTGCCATTTCTTTATGATTCCTCGCCTGTTGACTCCAGGTGCGCGGGTCGAGCACGGGAGTTCCTTATAATTTCGAAACTTGACTTTGTTGGTTTTCCTTGTTTTCTATCCGAATTATTTTGTTTATGGATGAGCGTAATTATACGTTAAATCATAGTTAAGGGGGCAAAAGGGGAGCAAAGAACAAGTGGACTGTATCTAAATTATTTTGCGGGGTTTTCAATAAAGCGGAGTCTACAAGAAGTGATGGCAAAAATGGCGGTCGGTACACCTCGTGCAAAATGCTGGAAGTGCCGGGCTGGGCGGGAGAAACAACAATAGGAAACAGCCCGGTGGAAGAAGGAGAGGATGGTAATAATTAGTTAACTAAAAAGCAAGAAATAAGTAAAATTTTATAAAAAAAAATAAAACCGACTCCAAAAAACCTACACTAAAACGTAGAAAAATAATTACTAATTACCTACTTATTTATTAGGACGAATTATTAATATTTATGTAGGTATACCATGATTGATACTTCTGGAGTCGGTGCCAAGATTATGAAACATGTAAAGTTTGCCTGCACCATGGCAGTAGGACGCACTGGGTGTGTCTTACTGCCATTTCTTTGTTATGATTCCTAGTCTAAAGTCCGGCCGGCGAGCAGATAGAATTTCGTCCAATGACCCCAAGCCCCCCATAAGGATGGGCCTTATCGCTCGCGCGTAATT